CGGGCCGTGGCGGTGGGTTGGGCGGCAAGGATCGAGCTGGCGGTGGCCGCATTGGTCTGTGGATGCAGGCAGGCAGGCAGGGCACCGCCGCCGCCGCCGCCGCCGCCTTCCCCGGGCGTGGCGGTGGGTTGGCGGCAGGGGTTCGAGCTGGCGGTGGCCGCATATGGTTCTGTGGAGGCAGGCAGCATGCGCCGCCGCGCCGCCGCCTTCCTCCCCGGGCGTTGCGGTGGGTTGGCGGCAAGGGATCGATCTGGCTGTGGCCGCAGTTGGTCTGTGGGAAGGCATGCAGCAGGCCCGCCGCCGCCGCCGCCGCCTTCCCCCGGTCGTGGCGTTTGGTTGGCGGCTAAGGGATCGAGCTGGCTGTGGCCGCAGTTGGTCTGTGAGGTCAGGCAGGCATGTCAACACGCCCGCCGCCGCCGCCTACCCGGGCGTGGCGGTGGGTTGGCGGCAGGGGATGCGCTGGCGGTGGCCGCAGTTGTCTGTGAGGCAGGCAGGCAGGCAGGGCACCGCCGCCGCCGCCGCCTTCCCCGGCGTGGCGGTGGGTGTTGGCGGCAAGGATCGAGCATGGCAGTGGCCCGCAGTTGGTCTGTGGAGCAGGCAGCAGGCACCGCCGCCGCCGCCGCCTTCCCCGGGCGTTGCGGTTGGGTTAGCGGTAAGGGGGGGTCGAGGGCCTGCCACTGTGGCCGCAGTTGTCTGTGGAGGCAGGCAGCAGGCAGTGCACCGCCGCCGCCGCCGCCCCTTCCCCGGCGGTGGCGTGGTTTGCCGGCAAGGGGATCAGCTGGGCTGTGGCCGCAGTGGATGTGTGAGAGGCAGGCGGCAGGGCACCGCCGCCGCCGCCGCCTTCCCCGGGCGTGGCGGTGGTTCGCGGTAAGGGGGGGAGCTGGCGTTGCCGCAGTTTAGTCTGTGGAGGCCGGCAGGGCACCGCCGCCGCCGCTTTCCCCGTGCGTGGCGGTGGTTTAGCGGGTAAAGGGGCGAGCTGGCTGTGGCCGCATTTGTTGGCGGAGGAGGGAAGCAGGCAAGCACAGCCGCAGCATGCCGTCCTGGTTTTGCGGGGCCAGCGCGAGGGGATGAATGCCCCTCGGCGGCCGAGGGGGACTGTACGGACGGACGACGGAAGGACGGCAGGCAGTCCGTGTGCGGACGGTCGCTTGCCGCCGTTGCCGTTGGCCTTGCGAGCGGGCAAGGCCCCTTTTTTCGACCACCCGCGCACGCTGGCCCTCGCCTCTTGGCCTCTTGGTCCGGCCGTGCAGCACGTTCCCTGCCTCCGAGCAGCTTCGCCCTGCTGTGTTGCGGGCCGCAGCCGGGCTGCGCGCTCCCGGGCCTCCCGGGCGTCCGGGAGCGCGGGCAAGGCCTGGGTCCCTTGGGCCGTGGCCGTGGCCGTGGCCGTGGCCGTGGGCGGGAGAAGCGGCGAGCGAGGGCGTCCCCGGAGCCCCGGGTCTGTCGGGCGGGCCCCGCTGCCGCTGGTGCCGGCTCCCTCCCCTTCCCGGCAAGGCTGGTTCCGGGGCAGCCTTGTGGTGGCGGCGGCGGCGGCGGGGCCGGGGCTGTGGCTGGTGTGTGCGGGCGCGGCGGAAAGGGGCGTTGGCGGTCGGAGGAGGACGCCTTGGTGGCGGAGCGAGGCCTGGGTCCCTTGGGCCGTGTCCGTGGGCGGGAGAAGCGGCGAGCGAGGGGCGTTCCCGGAGCCTCGGGTCTGTCGGGCGCTGCGAGGGGGCGTGCGCCTTGACGGGCGGGCGAGAGGGCGGCCTGTTTGGGGTGGTGGGGGCGGAACGGCCGCGGCGACAAGTGTATGGGGACGAAGGGGGGTCGCTGGCGTTTGGCTGGCTGGCGGGCGGGCGGCGCCGGGGCCGGCGAGCGAGGCCTCGGTGGGCGGGCTCCCTCGCGGCCGCGGACGGGTATCCCGAGCGTGGTCGGCTCCCCGCCGTCCCCGGGCGGGGTTGGTTGTCGTCCAGGCAGGCAGGCCCTGGTCGGGCCCTCCTTCCTCCCCTCCGCCGCCTCCTTAGAGGGCCTCTGAGGCGAGGCAGCGAGGCTCGGGGAGTCCACAGAGCGGTAGACCGCGGTGCGGCGAGGGCGGTGGGTCCCCCTGGAGGGGGTGTGTCCTCCCTGAACGAGCGGGCGGGGGCGGCCCCTGTCGCGTGGTGTTGGGCGAACGGGCGTTTTGGCAGCTGTAAGGAGCACGCGTCCGTGCGCTTCTCGGTCCCTCAGCCCCTTCCCCAATGGCCTCCCTCCCCCGCCGCCCTGTTGCCGAGGCCCTTTGTGGTGGTGGTTGTTGGTGCTGGCGGCGGGAAGAGGTTGTTGGTAGGTTTGGCGAGCGGCAGCGGGGCAGCCTCCTGCTTTGCCATGGCCCAGCCGACACGCACAGCAAAGGTCCGCGGCTCGCGCCACGACGCATCTTTTTTCCCGGCCGGGGCCGCCGGGTAACCATTGCCCCGTCCCGCCCCCTCTCGAGGTCGGTTGTGGCCCTGCCCTTCAGCACAGGCGACCGCTGCATTCTAGACGATTCGGAATGGTTTCCGAGTGCCGCCCCCGCGGCGGCCGTCCCCCCTCGCGACGTCGAGCTCCTGCGTTCTTCTCCCTTCGGCACGTTGGTTGCTGCGATAGCGTCGAGCTAGATCCCGGGTTGGGGGTTGACACCCTTGCGCGAGAGCTGAAGAAAACCCCTCGCAATCCAACCCCTTCCCTTACGCGCGCGCGCGCGCGCGTGCGTGCGTGCGTGCGTGGTGCTCCGAGGGAGGCACGGGGGCCCCACGCCCCCGCCCCTTCGCAGGCCCTGCAAGGGCCTGCGATCCTCCCCCTTACGGAACGATGGCAAAGAAGCAAAAAGAGAGAAAAGACTAGACGAGAAAGGGATCGCGCCCGGGTGGGAGCCTGCCGCGGCCGTTGCCCTGGCCCGGCAATGCTTTTTTCTCTCCCACCCCAGCGTGCGGCGCACCCTGATATCCATCCGCCGTCCCGCGCCCCTCTTACCCTGCTGCAACCTCTCCTTCCCCTCCCCTGCCTGCCTGCTCCCTCCCGCCCTCATCGCTCCCCCTGGCCCCTTTGGGGCGGGGGGGGGGGGGGGGGGCGCGAGCAGCGGCGGAGCGGGCGCGCGGGGCGGCCGGCGGGCGTGGAGCCGCGTAAAGGGAGTGGGGCTGCGCGGGCTGGCCCTGCGAAAAGCCGAGGACAGGGTCGAAGCGAGCGAGCCAGCGAGAAGTCCCGAAGGCGACGACGGCGAAGGAGAGAAGCGAGCCGCCGTGGTGTGGGTGTGCGCGGCGTCGGGCGGGCAGCGATGCAAATGCGCTGCAAAATGCCGCGACCCCCCCCCCCCCCGCCCCCCGCGCCTTCCTCCTGCCCCTTCCTCCTCCTGAAGCCTTCCCCCTCCTCCTCCTCCTCCCGCTCGTCCCAGCACGAACAAGAAAGAAAGGGAGACGACGTCGACCGACCAGGACAGGTCGCTTTTTCGTTGGTCCCTTTTCTCTTCTTTCTTTTTTCCCCCATAATTTCTACCTGGTTGATCCTGCCAAGTATCATATGCTTGTCTCAAAGATTAAGCCCCATGCATGAGTAAGTACAGCCGACTTATGCGAAACCGCGGACGGCTCTTTAAATCAGATAAATCTCATTGGATCTCTGCTGAACCGCACTACTTGGATAACTGTGGAAATTCGAGAGCTAATACATTCCTTGTATCCCGACCGCGAGGGAGGAGCGCCTTATTATTAGACCAAACCCTCGGCGGCCGGGCCCTCAACCGGTCGCCGCGATCTCCTTGGTGAAATCAGAAATAACTTTCGCCGAGCGCACGACCCCTCCCGTAACCCGGTTGGTCGGCCGCCGCGCCTGCAGGCGTCTGCCTATCATCTCGCGATTTGTAGGTTAAACGCCTACAATGCTATCACGGGTAAACGGGAATCAGGTTTTCGATTTCCGGAGAGGAGCCTGAGAAACCGGCAACCACATCTAAGGAAGGCAGCAGGCGCGCGAAATTACCCCACTCCCGCACGGGTAGGAGTGACGAAAAAATACTGTTGCGAGCCCCGAAAACGGGGGCCCGCAATTGGAATGAGGTACACTTTAAATCCTTGTACGAGGATCGAGTGGAGGAAAAGTCTGGTGCCAGTCCGCCGCGGTAAATCCAGCCTCCACTAGGCGTATAATAAAGTTTTGCGGTTGAAACGCTCGTATTTGACTTCTGGCTCCGACCGGCGCGGTCCGCCTGTAGCGCGCTACAGCATGCCGGGTGTCCGAGCTGTGTCCCCGCCGGCGCGCACGGGTTTTATGGCCCTTAACGGTGTCCCCCTGTGGCCGGCACGTTTACTTTGAAAAAATTAAAGAGTGCTCAGAGCAGCTGTCTTGCTTACAGCCCGATATGTCGTGCATGGAAGTGATGGAACAAAGGACCTCGGTTCTTATTTTTGTCGGTTTATTCGTAACCCGAGTCATGATAATGAAGCAGACGGGCATTCGTACTGCGACGCCTAGAGGTTGACATTCTTAGACCGTCGCATGACGACCTACTGGCGAAAGCATCTCCAAGGATGTTTTTCATGATCAAGAACGAAAGTAAGAGGTTCGAAGGCGATCAGATACCGACCCATTCTAACCTTAAACGTTGGCTGACTAGCGAACCGCCGCAGTATTTCCCATGACCCGGCGGGTAGCTTTCCCGGAAACCAAAGGGCTTTGAGTTCCGGGGGAAGTATGGTTCAAAGCTGAAAACTTAAGGAATTGACGAAGGGCACCACCAGAGTGGAAGCCTGCGGCTCAATTTGACTCAACTACGGGGAAACTCACCAGGCCAGGAACACCGGAAGGATTGACAGAATGAAGCTCTTTCTCGATTCGGTGGGTGGAGGTGCAATGCCGTTCTTAGTTGGTGGAGTGATCTCTGTCCTGGTTAATTCCCGATAACGAACGAGACTCGAGCCTGCGAAATATTCGACGGGTCTCCTCGCCCAGCCTTCGCCCGCGGGCGTCGGCTTCGGTTCCCCTAAACACGTCCGTCCGCGCGGCCCGCCACCGTCGTTGGTTAGCGCCGCCGGCGGACGCGCCCTCGCGCGCCGGAAACTGGCGTCCGCTTCGCAGTCTTCCTTCTTAGAGGGATAAGCTGGCAGCAAAAAAAATATTACCTAGCCGCACCGAGAGTTTGAGCCATAACAGTCAGGATGCCCTTAGATGTTCTGGCCGCACGCGCGCTAAATGGAGAGTTCAGCGAGCTGTCCCTGCTCCGAGAGGAGCGGGTAACCTCGTGAAAAGCTGTCCTTAAAGGGGATGGGGCTTGCAAATGTTCCCTAACCCATGAACGAGAATTCCCATAGGCCCGCAAATTCCACCAATTGCGCCGATTTAGTCCCCCCTGCCCTTTGTACACAACCGCCCGTCCGCTACACCGATGAATGGTCTAGTGAGGGCACCGGACTGATCGCCCTTGGAGCCGCTAAACCCCGCCGCCTCGGCGGCTGCCAGCGCCCTCGGGTCGACGGAAAGGTGTCCAAGCTGGTCATTTAGAGGAAGTAAAGTCGAAACAAGGTTTCCGTAGGTGTACCCTGCGGAAGGAACATTAACAGGTGCTACTACGAGCGAGCGAGCGAGCAGCAGCAGCAGCAGCAGCAGCAGCACCAGCAGTAGTAGTAGTGGTGGCGGGCCGCCGTCCCCCCTTCGCCGCTGCCGCCTGCGCCGCGCTGCCTGCCTGCCTGCCTGCCTGCCTGCCTGCCGAAAGAGGCAGACTCTCTCTCTACATCCCGAGCGGCGGTTGGGGGCGCGAGCTAAACGGTCGGGCGACGGCGAGCGGGCAGCGAGCCAGCGGGCGAAAAAAGGAAGAGGGCGGGATTTGGGTTGGCATCTGCCCCCCCCTCCCCCCCCCCCCGATCTTCCCCCGCTGCAACCTCCTCCTCTCGTCTCGTCCTCCTCATGCTCGTGCCCCCCTCCGCGGGGGCTCCGCACGGCTCCCCGGCCTTTTTTCTTTTACCCTCCCCGTCCCTTAAGGCGGGGAGGAGTGGAAGCCGAACCCAGAAGTCTTTGTCAGCCCCCCCGCCAGGTTCACCGTGGCCTAACGGAGGTCAGCGACGGCGACGGAAAAAAGCGGCCACACCGCCCTTGCCGCGGCCCTCGGCGCCGTGGGCTAACGCCGTCTTCTCAGAGTGCAGTTTTACCCTCCCCTTCGAGGCCCTTTGAGTGGGAGGCCATCGAGTAGTATGTTACCACGAAATGGAAAAAACCCAGGCAAGACTCTTAAGCGGGGGATCACTTGGCTCGTGGGTCGAGGAAGAACCGCGGCAAGAAGCGATGTTTTTGGTGGCTATCGCAATTCTCCCGTGGATTCCATCGACGTGGTGCGAACGCACATTGCGGCGGCCCTGTGCCGTTCTTCGAAGGAACGGCTGCCACCTTCCTCGAGTGTCGTGACGTTGCCTCCGGGAGCAGTACGGACGGCCTGCGGGCTGCTCGCTGCCCGAGCTCTCCGCCCGTCCTCCGGGAAGTCCGCACGAGAATCTTTTGAGAAGTGAGCGGAAACAGCGCCGTGTAGGTGCCGATCTCCTCCTCACCCTCCGCGGGGGGGGGTGGGGGAGAGAGCGGTTTCCGCAAGAGCACAACGGGTTCCGGGCCCGTCGACCGGCTTGCCGGCCGAGGCTCCGTTCTCGACCGTCCGGAGGTGCGGGAGCGGCGGCGAAACCGCGGGCGGTGCGGCGCGGCGGCGGCGCGGCATGTGCCGCCTCGCCTGCCATCCTGCCTCGCCTGCCTCGCCTGCCCTGTCTCTCGCGCCGTCGATTTCCGCCCTGGGGAGTTCGCCAGGGGACCAGAGAGGGCGCGGGATCCCGACCTGTGGGCAGGACTCGCTTCCCGCGTCGGACGTTTCCCTCACGACTGAGGGTTCGCTCTCTTCCGTCGCCGGTCGTCCCGCAGGGACGGAGGACGGAGGGACGGCGGCCCGATCGACCGTGATCCTCCTCCCGACGGCCGGCCCTGGCCACTGACCAAAAGGCGAATAATTGGTTCCGAGGAGCCGGAGAGCGCTCCTCTCGCCCCAAAAGCCGAAATTAAACCAGCCGTCCTGTTGCCCGTCCCCTCCCGTGGCCAATGCGATCCGGCCGTGCTGGAGGGGCAAGGCGAACCTAGTGACCGCGAGATCCGGGTGTTGGGGGCCCTCTCCCGAGCCACGAAACCTGCTTGCAAATCGCCGCGACTCAACTCGCCCCCGTCCCCCCCCCATTTCTTCTTCTTCTTCTTCCGCGAAGGGAAAAAAGGGCCTCGGTGGTCCGTCCCCTCCTCGCTATGAATCTGTGCAGAAAGGAGCGAGGAAAAGAAGGGCCTGGGGAGGGGGGCTCCGGGCAGGAGAGGAAGCGGGCGCAGCGATCCTGAGACAAACAGCGAAACAAAACCACTACGTACCCAAGCGAAATTTAGCGGTAGTTGCACAGAGTTTCGCGGAAGAGCAGGGCGGCGCGGAAAAAAAAAAGCCGGATTTGAGAGAAAGAAATCCGAAGAGAAGAAGAGCGAAACGATACCAAGCAAAGCAAGCAAGCAAGCAAGCATGACGGAAAGCAGCAAGCAAGCAAGAAGCAAGCAAAGCAAGTGTTGGCCGCTGTATCGTCGACCTCGGTGGAGGGAGATGACCCGCCTAATTTAGCCTATTAATCAGCGAGGAACAAGAAACCAACGGGATTCCTATTCGAGTAAGTAGCGACCGAAACGGGAAGAGCCCAGCGCAAAGCCTCGCGTTCCCTTCGCGGGGGGCACGAGGGTGCTGCGTTAGGGGAGAGGGTCCCTGCACGCGTCCCGAGCAGCCTAAGTTGTCATGAGACTTCATAACCAGGGGGAGGGTGTCAGGCCCGTGTGGCGGAAAGGGACTTCATCCTCCCGTTCGCGGGGAGGGGGGTTCGGGAGTGCGGACCGCGGCCTCCCTTAGAGTCGGTTGCCTGAAAACCGCAACCTAAAGCAGGTGTAAACTCCATCTAAGGCTAAATCTGACCACGAGGACCCGATAGCGAAACAAGTTACGTGAGGGAAAGTTGAAAAAGAACCTGTTAGAGAGGAGTTCAAGAGAACGTGAAAAAACCCGTAAGAGGCTAAACGGGCCGGCAGAAGTTCGAAGGATCGAACTGGGGGGATTCAGTTCGTCGGCCTGCCGGGGACGGCCCAGCGGATGTGACGACTTCCCGTTCCGGAGGACTTCTGGGCCGAAGGAAGCCAAAACACGGGGGACCGGCCCCCCGCCGCCTGCCCGGCGCCGGCGGTGCGATCTTCCCCCCGACAGTGGGTCGCCGCGACGCGTTGGGACCGGGAGTCTGAGGCCATAGGGGGGGGGGGTCCTGGTTTAGGAACCGCGGCGCGTGTCTCCGATCACTCGGTGGGCGGGGGGCGTTTTCCAGCGCGCCCGTCCGGGGATCCCCCGGTGCCCTCGTCTTGCCCCCCCGACGGTCACTCCTCCGGGGCCGGCCGGGAACGGGGGACTGGTCCGAGGCCGCGGTCGAGCCTAATTCGCTGGCTCCCGCGCTTCCCTGTCCCTCTCCCGCGTGGCCTTCGCGGCGTGCAAAGAGTCGGTACTCCTCCCGACCCGTCTTGAAACACGGACCAAGGAGTCCAACATGTATGCGAGTCAATGGGCGCGCTAAACCCACGGGCGCAATGAAAGTGATCGGGCCGATCCCACGGAGCAGCGGGCGGCCGCGCGCACCCGGACGGAGTGACTGACTTTCCTCCCCGGGACGGCGCGGGTTCCCTCCCGCTCCCGCAGGCCCCGCGCGCCGCCCTTCGCGGGGCGGCGGCGGGGGGGGCGCAGGTCCGGGACTCGCCATGACGAACGGTCGTCGCCCGTCTCGGCGGGGGGGCGGCCGGATGTGTCGGCGGGTACCCAGAGCATAAATGTTGGGACCCGAAAGATAGTGAACTATGCTTGGCCAGGATGAAGCCAGGGGAAACCCTGGTGGAGGTCCGAAGCGTTTCTGACGTGCAAATCGATCGCCAGAGCTGAGTATAGGGGCGAAAGACCAATCGAACTATCTAGTAGCTGGTTCCCTCCGAAGTTTCCCTCAGGATAGCTGGCGCTCGCTTCGAACGAGTTCCATCCGGTAAAGCGAATGACTAGGGGTGTTGGGGACGAAATGTCCTCAGCCCATTCTCAAACTTTAAATGGGTGAGGTGCCGGGCTTGCTTCGCTGAAGCCCCGGACGAGAATCGGAGTGCCTAGTGGGCCAATTTTGGTAAGCAGAACTGGCGCTGTGGGATGAACCAAACGTCGAGTTAAGGGGCCTAAATGGATGCTAATTCCGATCCCATGGAAGGGAGTTGCTTGCTATAGACAGCAGGACGGTGGCCATGGAAGTTGGAATCCGCTAAGGAGTGTGTAACAACTCACCTGCCGAAGCAAGTAACCCCGAAAATGGCATGGCGCTCAAGCATCCTCCCGATACTCGACCGCCGGGCGCACTATAGGCTGCGTCGAGGAGGTCTCGAGGCCCCGGCGAGTAGGAGGGCGCGGTGGTGAGCGTAGAAGGATACGGCGCGAGCCGGTCTGGAGCCGCCACTGGTGCGGATCTTGGTGGTAGTAGCAAATGCTCGAGCAAGCCGAACCCTCGTTGACCGAAGCGGAGGAGGGTTCCCCGCCAACATCGCTTGGTCGTGGATAAGTCGGGCCCTTAGCCCGAGGATAGCTTCCCTCCGATCCCCTGGAAAACGCCACAAAACAGTCGAGCTCTTGTTTTTGACTCCCTGTTTTGGAAAGGGGAAGAAGGCGGCACGAGCCGAGCAGCAGCCGGCGGCGAAGGCGAAGGCGAAGGCGGCGGCGGCGGGGGGTTCCCTCCCTCCCTCCCTCCCGCCCTCCCTCCCTCTCGCTGCTGGCTCAAGCGCTTGTCGGCGCCGGCTGTGCTTAATCGTCGTCATCATCATGATGGTGATGATGATAGAGCGGCCGGCGTCTTGGCCCCCGGCCACGCCAATCCCCCGCCTCAGCAATTTGTCTGGATCCAAAACGACGAGAAAAAAGAACTTCATGCAAAGAAAAACGGTCCAGTCAGATTTCGGGCTAAAGGGAATACGGTTAAAATCCCGTGACCTGCCCCGTGGGAAGACAGACCCGTGCGTGGGAAACTATGGTTTTAGTGCGGGTGGCCGTGTAACGAGAGCGGCGGCGCGCGGCCTCGCGGCGTGGGCGCATTCGTCGTCGTCGACGGCGGTGTGCCTCTCGTCCGCCGGCGGCGCCGCCGCGGTTACGACGATCCTCCTCCCGCCCCCCCTTCTGTGAGAGGGCTTTCTCTGGACCAGCGCCGGTCTCGCCTCCGTCACCCTCCCTCAGGGGGAGGGCAGGCAGGAGGCTCGGACCCCCATATAATAAGGCTGTCTTGTGTGGTAGTTAGGGGTATATCCCTTCGCTCTCGGAGTAAGCGCCTCTTTTAGTGTGCAGGAGAGGAGAATCAGCCTACCCCGCGGGGGTTCGGCCTCTCCGCGCGCAGAGCGACCGCTCGCGCCACCCCATATCTATACCAAGGTTGCATCATTTGCCCGGTGGTCGGAGGCCAGTGCGTGGCTGGCAACGGCGTACTCGTCGCGACGCGCGGTAGCCCGGGGAAAGAGATTCTTTCTTTTTTAGGCTGCTGAGGCCCCAAGTTCGTTCACTTTGAGTGGGGGTCGTTGGCCGTAACCGCCGTACGTGAGATGTGATCGGTGGGAGCAATCCTCGCTGTTGCGATCGGACACGGTTCGCCGTCGTTAGAGCACGCGCAAATAAGCGCTTGTGTCCCGTGCGCTACCGCCGGCCCTTGAAAAGGTGGATAGGGTAAACCCCCTCCGGTACCAACCAACCAGACCAACCAGGCCACACAAGAGGGGAAAATAATAAAGAAAGAAAAATCGGTAGATGTGATGATGGACGGGGGGATGCGATCGCTCGTTCGAACGCCGACCAAAAGTCCGAAACGAGAGCGATCTATGCGGGCGGAGGACTACCGCAGCGTACTGCCAACCACGTGCCGAAAAGAAGAGAAAGAAAAGAAAAAAAAAAAAAAATGGGGGGCGTTTTCTTCAGAGCGCCACGGTCGAGGACGAGATCGAGAGAAGCCCTCGGGAGTCGAGATGCATACCAGCGCTCGCACGCGTTGCGGGGGGGGCAGTCAGTACCTTACTCGCAGCAGGTATCCAAAGGTGTTCAGCCTATGGTCGATAGATCAATGTAGGTTAAGGAAGTGGAAGTCGGCACGTTAGATCGTAACTCGGGGGGACAAGGATTGGCTTTGAGGGTCAGAGCCCATGCCGGGACCACAGCGGCAGCGGTCCCTCGTCCCCTGGGGGTAGGCCGCGGCGGTGTTGCCGCGGAGGCGGCGGCGAGGGAGGGGGCAAAGGGTGCCCTTGGCGGTCGGCGCCGCGGCGTTCTGTCCGCTCCGAGGGAAGACAAAGGGGGAACTGGGCCGGAGAGGGCGGCCTCCACGAGGTTCGCTCCGAGCTCGGACCCGACCCGCAGGGGCGGCTGCGTGCCTGCGGCTGCTCCTCTGCCCTCTGGTGCCCTACCCTCCGCTCGAGCCGCGCAGCCCGAGCAGCCCGCCGGCATCACCGCGCCCCCGCCGTCGGGGTCGGGACCAACGCGGAAGGCGCCTCTCGGGCAAGGCCGGGGTTCCCTCCGTTTCCCCGGCCGCGGCTGGCAACAGACGGCCGTCGCAGAACTGGGCACGGACCAGGGGAATCGACTGTTACTTTAAAACAAAGCAATGCGATGGTCGGTGATAGATGTGACGCATTGTGATTTCGGCCCAGTGCTCGAATGTCAAGTGAAGAGATTAAACCAGCGCGGGCGGTGTGTAAACGGCGGGAGTAACTATGAATCCTAAGGTAGCCAAATGCCTCGTATCTATTAGTGGACGCGCATGAATGGATTAACGAGATTTCCCACTGTCCCTACCTAAATCTAGCGAACCCCGGCAGGGGAACGGGCTCTGCAGTTAACGGCGGGGAAAGAAGCACCCGTTGAGCTGCTCTAGTTTGGTTGTAGAGATGGCAACTGAGGTGTAGCATAAGTGGGAGGGCGCTGCGCCCCGGACGATGAAATACCCACTACTCTGTCGTCTCTCTACTTAACTCGGTGATGATGATGATGCAGGGAGCGGGAGGGTGACGGGGTTCGGGGCATGCGAGCGGGCCGGCGGCCCCCCGGGGCTAGCCGCGCCCACCTCCTGCCCGTCTTCTCCCTATGCATTCTACCGATTTTAGAGCTGAAAGTGACAGAACAAGAGCGGCCGCTCCCCGGGGGCGAAAAGGGCTTCTCAGCGACGGGGGCAGGTCGTCGCCGCCGCTCGCGGCGCGCGTCGCGAACCCGTTCGAGGACCGAGCCAAGCCAGATGGGAGTTTGACTGGGGCGGTACATCTGTCAAACGATAACGCAGATGTCCCAAGGTTCAGGCCAGCGGGAAGAAACCACGTGTAGAGCCCAAGGGCAACTGCTGGCTTGCTCCGGGGACTCTCCCAGTACGAGCACGGACTGCGAAAGCACGGCTAGCATCCTTGTGACTTTTACGAGTTTTAAGCGAGAGGTGTCAGAAAAGTTACACAGGGATAAACTGGTTTGGGCGGCCCAGCTTATAGCGACGTCGCGCCTTTTGATCCTGCGATGTCGGCTCTTCCTATCCATTGTGAAGGCAGTTTTCACCCAAGCGTAGGATGTCACCCTCTAATAGGAACGTGAGCTGGGTTTAACCGTCGCGAGACAGGTTAGTTGTAACCAACGGTTAAACAAAACGTCGCCACGTCGCGACAGGAGCCCGCCCAGTACGAGAGGAACGGTGGGGTCAGGACCAATGGTGCACCCTGCCGACAGGGCCACCAGGGGAGGGCAGCCACGTCCGGCAGGTTTTACCCTGAAAGCCTCTCAAGGGGGAAACGCGTGAGCGTTCAAGCGATCGTGATCGCGTGCGGCCGCAACGGATCGGCGAGCGTTTACTACTAAATGAGTTTAGAAGCGAGCCCGGCGGAGCCAAGGGAGGAGGACTGTGCCCATGCAAGGGGAAGTCACGCGGCTGTTTTGACGGTCGACGGTGGGAGGTCCAGTCGTGACGGCCCGCCAAACCGCTCCCCCCGGGGGCGGTGGGCCGCCGCCCCGAGCTGAAGGGGCGGCCTCCCTTGGACACCAGCTTCCTCCCCCCGATACAGGGAGCAAACCACGTCCCGGTGTTTCCGTACCGAACCGTCCCCTCTGCATACGATGACATATCGGCTGGGGTGTGTACGGTTAGAGCAGGCT